TCCATTCCAGCTGGAGACCTTGGCTGTAGATGTTGTCTTCTGCATGGGTGAAAGAAGGACATGAAGAAATTAATTCAAAACACTTCCTCTCCCCACTTGTTTTCCTCCAAAATTTGGTTTACATGTTTTCTTTCCTCTCCATATGCTCAAGTGACAGCACCTCTCAGCTGCTGCCATAACACTGCTGCCCATGGAAGAACTTGGTACCGTGGAAAAGTTCCTGCTGCCAAGGCTGAAGAGCTGCTATTGTGTGAGTGCAAAAGCATCCAGGAGGGCCCATCTCTCTCCATTCTCCTGTGCCCAATGAACTTTCAGAGCTATGGATGGATTTTGGACCCTCAGCACAATGGATTTGTCCTGTCCTTGTCCTGCAGTTGTTATTTCCTTGCTTACAGAATCTGGGATTTTTGGGTGACCTCTGGGATGGATCAGCTACAGTGGCAACACTCCCTGCCCTGAAGGACAGGTGGTGGCCAATGTGGTGGCTTTGCCACTCAGACATTTCCCCATGGCTTCTCTCGGTGACTTTTGGTCAGTGCAATTAAATCCATACTTACAAATTAATAATTGGGATGGCATATTTCCCACTGGGAGTAAGCATTGCTCCCTTTGTGTTGGGGTCCTTCACCTCCTCACAGCTCATCAGATGTGCTTTCAGCAACCTTGGGACAGAGATGTGGGTCAGACAGGGCAGTGCAAGACAAGGAATGCAAAACCCCTGAGACCTGGGGCAAGCACTGGCCCTCCACAGCTGCCTTCTGCTCCCCGGCTCTGCCCAGCGTGCCCAGGCTCCTCTGACCCAGCCCAGGTGCAGAGCCCTCGAGACTGGAACAGCATCTTTCAGCACAGAAAGGAACCCATGACACCAATAGTTGGAGCTGCCTCTTGAGGCACACCCCAGGCACTGGGAGCACACCCCTCTCCCCATACCCAGAAAACCTCTAGGAAATGCACTTGAAAAAAGCACAGTGATGTGAGGAGGTTGTCAGCTTATTCCTTGTGATCCCTGCCTAGAGTCTTCCTGGGGGATGCTCTGACCCCAAATGGAGTGGGTTTCATCCACACACCTCGATATCTCTCTGCTTTTGTTGAGAGTCCTTTTGGAGGCTCTTTGCCGTAAAGTTGAGTTTGTCATAGTCTCTTTGAATCTCCAGAAACTTGGCTTCCATTTGCTGTCTCAGCTCCTGGTCCTGCCCCAGGGATGAAAAAACATAAGGGGGAAGGTCAGAACAAAGGGGCTCTGCCTGCTCCACAGTGGCAAACCCACATTACTCAGTCAGTGGCCACCAGGAGAGCCTCACTATTTTTCTTTTAATCAGTTTAAGACTTGAGTTAGAGCTACGCCACTTCTCCATCTGCTGTGGCAGTGTCCTGTTCTGTGGCACCTCATGTTCTCAGTTTCTTCTTGCATTGTGGAGTATGGCATATTTCCCACTGGGAGTAAGCATTGCTCCCTTTGTGTTGGGGTCCTTCACCTCCACCATAAAAGTCATGGGAATTCCTGAGCTCCTTTTAAGCCTGGGAACAGGGCTGGTAGATGATGATGGACCAGGACCCAAGGGTGGCTTCAGGTCACTGCAAGTTTTTGGGGGTAAAAAAAGAGGAAGGTAGGAATGTGTGTCCCTTGTCAGAACAGATCCCTTGTCAGAGATAAACATGATTCTTCCGTGTTCTTCCAAGAGCAGATTTGACCTTACCAACACTTACTTGAGGGGCTCATAGTAACGGCAGGACTGGATCATCATGGCTTTGATCTTGTCCTCCTCTGCAGCATTGGCCTCAGCCAGATTTGGGGTCTGTGTGACAGGGGAAGGTTGGACATACACATGAAGAACATGTTTGAGCCTCCACAGCCAAAGACAGCAGCCTCCATGCAGCCCAGGAGAGATCGACCTCTAAGGTTTTGCTTTCACAGATACTCCTTCACAAAAGCAACCAATTCAGAGATTTAATAAATGGGTGTTTCATTGACACAGTGTTTTTCTGTACAGGAATATTATCCAGATCCACCTCTCTGGAATCATTCCCATCAACATTTACAGAGAATTTTACATACACTTCACCAATGTGTTTGAACCCAAATGGTTTACAAAACACAACCAAACCCCACCAAAACATGTCTAGGAATAGACCCAGATTCAAATATGGCACTTTTTACAAAGTAATAATAATATCAAAATAATTTACACTGTCTGCAACCAAACAAAGGAGATTGTGTCCCCAGACCCCAATTTGTGAACAAGTGCAGCAACCAAAGAATAGATCTATAGCTGTCATGGCCAGAAATTCAAAATTCAAGCCTCACAAGTGTTCTTGTTCCAGAAACCTTTGTTTTGGCTGCTGAAAACCTCCCTGAAATGTCCATAACTTACAGCCAGTTCAATTCTTCTGTACACATTTGTACAACACAAACTGTTAGTTTCCAGTGCAAAACTGATGATACAAAATGGGAAACAGGTGCTGAAGTGCTGCTGCTTTGGGTCTTGAAAAGGAGTACTGCTGCCACATTATGTTGGGGCTGATAAGGTGCTCCCCTTTCCTCTTCCCAACCTGTGAACTTCTCTTGCTGGGATAGCATCACAACATACATGCACTTTAAACTTACAATAAACACCTTGAGTTATTAAAAATACAGTTTTGATCACATTACCACAATTATCCAGCTGTAGATCACAGCATGAGATTTAAAAAGACTAAGGAAAGGATTTTTTTCAAGTATTTGACAAAGAATATATATACCTTATATATACCTATACCTTAATGAGCTGGGCCAGAGAAAGAGGGGCAGAAGAGTCAGAAATCTGTTCACAAAAGAATTAAACCATATTCAAGTTCGATGTCCAGAAAATTAATACAAGGCTGCACTGTTTTGAATGAAGTGCAGTGTGTAGGAAGAAGTGTGAGGCTGGGATTTTACATACTGCCTTGGATGTTCCCCTCACTGGCTCATTTTGGTTCCTGGCAGAAGAAACAGAGGTGATCAGAACTTAAAATGAAGCACTTGGACCCAGCATCAAGCAGTGAAAACCAACAAGAACACCTGAACCTCAAACCATTATGTTCTGATAGTTGAGTGACTGTGGGAATTTATTTGTCTTCATAAACTCTTCTCTCTTGGTACCTCCAGTGCAACTAAAGCCCCCAAAATCTCATATCTATTGTCACCAGTTACACAGGAGTGAGGTTTCTTAGCCAGAACAGTGACACTGTCAACGCTCAGGAGTGCAGGTTTCTTTCAGTGAAAAATGATCCCTCCTCTGCCAAAGCAATACCAGAACTGCCAGCAGCTCCATCTCCAGGATGGTGTTTCTCTGTGGGAGCCCTGTGTTCAGAACCTCTGCCATCCTTAAACCACAACAGGGCCAAAGTGCCCAGTGTGTTACAGATGCTACAGTGACTACAAATAGTGGTAGAAAGGTCACCTGGAAGCCTTTCCTAGGGGTTGGTGCAATTTAGGAGCTCTGTGGGGAAAAAAAAAAGAGTCTTAATTGGCAGAATTTCCTTTCAGGTGATCTTCAATTTGCAACACTATTTTGGGAGCGATTTATTACATTTGCAAACTTGCTGAGATTCCACACACTCAGTGACCTGTGTCTGATTCAGGTGCTCAGGAATCAGACACACAAGCCCTGTGACAGCAGATCCTCATCCCTCCCACACATCAGCCAGATATTTCTGCTGTGTTCCCAGCTGGAGGGCCAGAAAGCTGCTCTGCCTGGGTGACTGCCATCGCTGCAGCTCACAGCCATTGTCTCTGACCTCACACACAGGAGCTGATGGGATCTGAGCACTGCCAGCATCCATCCTCTCACTGCAGGGCAGCACCACAACACCAGGGGAGGGCTGTCCAGCCCAAAAGAGAGGATGCTGGGACAGGCCAGCATGGAGCATCCATATTTGCATTAACCCCAAACCAAAGCCATGTTTAGAAGCAAAACACTGAGGTGTCCAGAATTCTTGGTCTCTCTTCTACAGACAGGGTGTAAAAGACCCAAATCTTGGGTGCAAGATACTTGCCAGATACCCCACAGTCCCCAAACCCACCTTCTCCAGTGCAAGAAATAGTCAAATACTGACAAGCAGACTCTTCTCGGATGGGAACACATTAAAAGTTCATTTCTAATAATGATTAATTGTTAAAGAGCCTACCTGTCATTACTATAAAGCCACTAAAAGCAAACACACACAATCTGTAATCTCCTCATGTGGAGAAAGCAGGATTTGCAACTTGGCTCTCAGCCCAATTATCCCAAGAACAAAACCAAGAGAATCACCTTAAGATTTACCAGTGTTGAAGTTTGAACCCCACATCCCCACAAACCTAACAGTGGGAGTCTGCTTTGAAGCAGATACATTAAAATCTACCCCATGAAAAAGGAAATTAACAGCAGCTCTGACCCGATGCAGTCCAAGTGCCTCTGCAAACCCATATCCAGAAAAGAAGTCCACACTCTGACATCCCTCACAGGGAATTCAGAGCTTCATGGATACACACGTAGCTCGAGCTGGGACCCTCTTCACGATCACTGAGACGTTCTTTGGGATCTGTGCATCATCAGAGTATTCTGAGAACAGCACAAATGCAGAACAAGCATGAGTCAGTTGGGAAGAATGGATACGGACACGGAATTAGATGGCACATCACAGAATCCCTTTAGAGCTGCAAAAACCAGTTTTGTATGCACCACTGTGCTTTCCCGCCCTGGCTTTTGTCCCCAGGGCAGAGCAGGGCTCCCGCAGCCTGTGGCACTGCGTGGCTGATCTGTGCCACTGCCCCTGGGTGCCCCGGGGCCCGGGCTGAGCCCCACTCACCTTCGCTGGTCTCAGCTTTGAGGATCTGCAGGTCGCAGTTGGCCACCTTCAGCCTCTCGCGGGCCATGATCTGGCGCTTGAGGTCACCCAGGGAGATGCTGTGGCCATGGAACGTGACCACGTCGTAGCTCAGCTTGGAGGAGAACTTGTAGTGGACACCCGACATGGCCCCGCAGCGCCGGCCCGGCCTGGCGGGGGTGGCACGGGCACCTCTGCCTCGGGGCTGCCCAGGGCAGCAGGGCAAACCCGCAGCGCTGGCACGGCACCGAGCGCTGGGCACCCACCCAGAGCTTTGTGACCTCGTGGCGCGGAGCCCCGGAACCCCAGAGCTCTGCTCAAAAGGACCATCATCATCTTCAGCCCACGCGGAGGGCAGGCACGGGGCACGGGTGGTCATACTGAGGAAGGCTCCACGTCTTCCTCTGTCGCCCTGTTCTTCTAAGCCTTCTAATATTTACATTTTTGTAATGGAGTCTCTCACGCGCTTTTCATGTAAATAATGATTGTTTTACATTCCTTTCTGAAGGAGGAGAGGATTGATAGACTGTTAGTTTAACCAGTGTGGTTGGAGAGGTAGCAATTTCATCCTCCAATCCATGGTCACTTTCAGAATTCTATAAATACTGAAGTCCAGAAATAAACGTACCTTTTTTTTGTGTATTGTTCATGTCATATTGTGACGCTCCTCAATGGTCCTTTCTGATGAAGGCTGGATGTTGTCATCGCTGTGCCCCTTCCACCTCTCTCCTCTAGGCACTGCAGTCTCCTGTTGGCTGTTTCAATGATTTTCTCACTGGTATCAGCAAGCTCTGCCTTTAATTTTTGCAAGTTCTGTTCCCTGTTTCTTGCCAAGTTTCATCCTGGGTCTCTAGCCTGTGACTAAAATTTAGCAGCTCCTATATTGGCTCAAGGTATCCTGTGCTTTCCCAAGTATGCCTAGGCACAGTGCTTTTAACCTTTTCAGTCCTGAGACCCTGCACTGCACAGGGTCAGGGAGCTACTGGAGACACAAGAGTGCCTTGCCCACCTTGAAAAAATAAAATCAGGGGGTATCAGGGATATCTGCATGGGCTCTGTTACAGGTCTGGGATAAGGCTGCGTGGACAGTTTCCATGGTGTTGTCATCAGGCACCTGTAATTTTCTTGGGGCTTTGCTCTGGAATAAAACCAGCACCTGCGAACCTCAGCTGCTCTTGAAAAGAATTTAAAGAGTTTAAAACTTTCAGGTAATCTTGGTAGAGGAGAATTTTAAATCCAGGAAAAGCAAGAGGAAAATAATTTCAGTTTTTCTCTATATCTTAAGCAGTTGGCAATACTTTTCTATAAAGGAACTACAGCCCCTGGATGCAGGAAGACATGGCAGGAGGAGATGGATGTTCTTTTGCTATATGGGCAATGCTGAGCCAGGGCACAGGCCACAGGCAGTCAAGGAAATTCCCAACTGAGAGGTTGTACCACGAAAAAACCACCCAGCCCTGGCATAAATCCATCCAGTCCTGCCTGAGGGATGACAGGGTAACTCTGTGATGCTCAGAGCATCCACATGGACATGGTGGGAACAAGGGACCAGAGAGGCAGGGGCTGGGGGGTGGCAGCTCCTCCTGGACTGATTCACTGCCATCCCCAGTTCCATGTGCTCTGGAGGGCTGTGCTGGGTGACCTGGAAGGAATGAGGGTGACCCAGCCACAGTCTGTGCAAAATGAAGGTGGCACTGCTCAAACAGGCGTGGGTCAGGGCTGAGGTGCAGGGAGGTGGGTCTGGCACAGCACCCTGCAACACTCCTCACCTCAGGCCATTGTGGGTATGTCAGTGAGGGACTGGGGAGACAATCAGACAGAAAACAATCATGGATTAATAAATAGCACAACCACTCTGAGGCTTGGGACATACTCAACAGCAGGAGCTGCCCAGCCAGGAGATGGTGCTGGGCTTGGCTGTCTCCACCTCTGGCATGGGGTGCACGAGAGCAAATGCCACTGTGTCCAGCTCAGCTCAGCCCCAGGACAGCTCTGCAGCCTCCCAGGCACTTGCAGAGCCCAAACACAGACAGCTCAAGGTCACAGCTGGGGCCCAGGGCAGGGGGCACAGTGCCCCAGCCCCTTCCAGCTCACGACACTTTGTGCACTGCAAAACAGCCTGGACACGCCCCAGCAGCCCCAGGATGCCCAACTTCAGCCACAGAGTTTATTGTTTAGTAGGAGCTCACCACACCAGCAAGCCAGGACAAGGGGGATGGTACATGAATACAGATGTGGAGGAGTTACACAGACAGATTTGTACAGCTTTTGTACAGAGGAAGAAAATGAATCAAATAACAAAATAGACATTAGCAGTCAAACTTTTTTTTTTTGTCTTTTTTTTGTATCATACTAACAAAATCTGATAGCCAAAAAATGACTAAGCTACAAAATTGTAATACATACTGGATGGGTAAAAGGTCATCATCCATTTATACATCTAGTATCATCTTTTTTCTGGTAACTTACAGGAGGCCTATAGGATCTTAGTGTATTAATAACTCCCTACAGATAGTGCTGAGCTGCTAAAGCTGCTGAATAACGGAGTATTGGAATTTTCATTAAGACTTTTACAGTGGCATTTGCATAATTTTGTTTAATGAAACCCTTATGCATCTCTACTGCGAGTCAGAGGAGCTGCTGGTGGCTGGGGGGAGGCAGGAGCTGTAAGGCCTTGGCTGGCAGCTTGGCACCTGCCACTGCAGAGCTGTAACACCAGGCAGCTTGGTGCCATCATTCCACAGGGCACCAGCACGGTGCTGCCCTTGCTCCAGCTCTCTGGATGCTGCAGGAGGGATAAAGCTGACATTCCCAAGCAAGACTCATTCTTTTCCCCTTTGGTCTTGAGAAACAGAGAAGAAATCACTCCATACTAAGTAGTCTCCATCCCAGAGGCGGCTGTTTCAGTGGATAAGGGCTCAGCTCTCAGCAGAAAAGCATCACTACCTGTCAGGGCAATGCCACTGGCTGTGGGGGCTGCTCCTTCCCCGGGAGCCCAGCTGAGTGTCACCTCCTGCTCCCCACCCTGCTCCATCTGCAGATGGAAAACCAGCATGGCATTCTCAGGCTGGGAGAAAGGCTGGGGAAAGCACAGCCCTCCCTCAGCAGCTCTCGGGGAGCGAGGTAAGAGCAAGGCTGAAGCCAGAGGGGGAGTGAAGGCACAAACAGGAACCAGCCCAGATCAACAACAGGACAAGGGGGCATCACCACTCCAGGGCCCCAGAGCTCTCCCAAAGAACCAAGCCAGAGGGACCAAGCATTGTGAAGTACTTTATACACCACCACACAGGTAAAAATAGCACTTAAACTTACAAATAAATAGAGGGGATGGGGAATCTCCCCCTTGTCCTTTCCAAGTTTGTCCCTAGTGTGGTCTCTGACCACCTCAGGAGGGCAGCCAGAGGCTGGTGCCCAGGGGAAGCCTGTGCTAATTTTGGAGAGGGAGGAAGTGAGTGAGTGCAACCCCTCCTGGCCCCTTACACAGGGCTGAGCTGAAGCCACATGAGCACACAAATATCCTGGTGGCATTGTGGATGGTCCTATTTGGGAGCAGCTCCCATGGCCCTGCACCCCAGTGGGTGGGGGCTTCAACCCTCAGCCCTGCAACACAGTGACCACAGAGCCTGCACAGAGAGCCAAGCAGTGCCAACAGCTCCTGGCTGATCCTCAGGGACCAGCACAGCCATTTACAGCCAGAGAAGACCATTAGCACTAACTCTGAACACCTCTGTTCCTGTTCTGCATTGTCTCCTGAGATGAGCAGGAAAAGCCCCAGGTCTGAGCTGCTCTCAGGGATGGTCCCTGGGAAGAGGCAGGAGCCAGAGACTCCTCCAGCCTGGCAACTTTGGATCTGATCAACAGAACCAAATACATGATCCCCATGGCCACTCCCAGGGGATCCCACTTGTACAGAGCCAGAGGGAGGTGGAAAACAGAGACATCTCTGCTGCAGGTGAAGGCAGCTGGCCACAAGTCACTAGAAGACCCATACAGGAAAATAAGTTACAAACCAGAACGGGGCCTCCCTCTTGCACGTGCCCAGGGAAGCCCATGGGATCTGCAGATATGACTTCAGAGACCATCCAGCCAACAGGAGCATTTTGGGAAACAACAGCCCTAAATTCTTAAAACCAGCAGTGAGGTATTCACTATTGAGGGCTGTAACAAACAAAAACTCCCTCTGGGACTTTCCAAAATCACTTAGACGATGAATACTCGACCAGGAGGGTTTTGGAGGCCACTCCTACAATTCCTTGGGAAACTCCCAGAACTAGGCAGAGATGTGGCAATCTTCCTGGTGATTTGTAAGAGCTGAAGAAACACTTGCACAAGGCAGGATGGAATCCTACATGAATTATTTCCAGCCAGTTCGATCCCACACTCTGCCTCCTGCTACCACAAGCAGATTTCTGACCTGCTTTACTTCCCCTTCCTCTCCCATCCTCCTGTGAAGGACAGGAGATCACCAATCCTGCGTCAGGTGAGAAGGGTCAAGTGTTCCATGTCATCCTCCTGATGGCAAAATCACAGTCCTGAAGCTCAAGTCTTTCCCAGGCTGCTTCTGGCTGCCCGTCCTGCAAAGAAGCAGGAGTCTGGCAACCCACTAAGAAAAAGTGACACAACTTTGTGGGAAATCAGAGCAAAAAGTAACAGAGCTGATGTGCCATCGTGTTCACCTGCTGGGGGTCTGGCTCAGCTCTCCTCTCCCATCTTGTCCTTTCACAGATGTCCCATCAAAGCAGAAGGAGGAGGAGGTGGCACTAACTGGGAGAAGCCTGGAAAAATATTGCTGTGACTGTTCCCTGTGCTACTGAAGAGTGAACCTGAGCTGGGCTCCTTCACACCTTTAAGAGCATGTTGTCACCTTCCTCTGCCTTATTATCACTTGGGAGCTGTGGTGCAAAGTTAGAGTGAAGCCTTGTGAAGAAGGAACAAGATCCTCTGCTGGTACAGACACAAGAGCTGCCTGGGTTCTGGTCTTGGATTGCTTCTGCTCCAAATACTCACAGCCAGGCCATGCACAGAGGATTGCTGAAGCCATCAAAGGCAGGCTCACAGCAGCACCTTCACCTCATCCATCTCAGCAGCAGGGGCTGGGCGTCACACTGAAGAGCCAAGGACAGCTCTGGAGAGCACCAGGCAATCACAGTGAGCTCTTAAATTGAACAGGCAAGGAGGAACCTTTTGTTCAATGCATCTGTCCCGCACTGACTGCCCCCAGCATGGAGCTCCAAGGCCAGCAATGCTGAGATCCAGCACCTGTGGAGTCCTGAGCTCAAAACAGAGCCCATGAACCCCCCAGCAGTGAGGGGCACTGAGCTGGACAGCTGGCTGTGGCACAGGACTCCAGCAGGCCTTCAGAGATCCCACTGCAGGAAGAAGGGACCTACACCCAGGCAAGGTGTGCCTGACCCCAGAGTCAGAGCCACCACAGCTTCTTCCCCAAATGGCAGGGGAGAAGAAACAAAATAAATATCCCTCTGAAACTGGATTATTTCCCACGACACACTATTATACAAGAACTAAGTGCAGCCTCTGCTCTAAAACAGTGATACCTTCCAAAAGGGAGGAGGGGAACACATCCCCAAAGCTCACATCATCAGCCCAGCAGGTTTCACTCACTTGTGCAGGTTCTCAGGACACCAGGGTGTGTGGGAGGGAAGGGACAGGCCCCGTGGGAAGGGTGCAGCCTATGGGCACATGCTTTGAACACCACAGGAAAATCCCTTGGCAGCTCCTGTGGGGTTGCTGGGACCCACTGACACTTCAGCCACAGGTCAGGGCAGCTGTCATCCAAACCATGTCAGCTGGTGGGACAAGGGCAGCTCAAACAATACAAATTCCACAGTCAAAACCAATACAAGTAAGAAACCAAACCCAGAGAGGTCTTTCTGCTCCCTCCTGGAACAATGGCTGTCTTGGAAAACTGGGCTCTGGGATTGTCCTGATTACATCAGTTAGTACATTATAAACATTGTCCTGCTTTAAAGTGAAAATACTGTGTGTGGTCTTTTGGAGGTGCTAAAGCCAGATGTGGTGTTGTTTTTCCTGACTGTGCAGAGGAGCTGATACTGGCATGAAATGGTCCTTTCCACCTCTTCTCTATCAGAGCTTCTCCTAGGAAAAAAAAAAAAACCAAACAGATCTTGTTAGGCAAAAGCACAGAGGCTTGTTTTGGAAGAGGCATGGAGTAGAATGCCCACTGCTCTGCCCAGTATGGGTGGATGAAGTCTGCTGTGGGAGGCCAGGACAGCACATCCCACAAATGCCTCCCATGCAGAGGGGACAGCAGAGAGCTGAGGCTGGGCAGGGGCTGCCAGAGGAGTGTGACACAGCACTGAGCCAGGAGACTGTGGGGAAGCTCCCTTTGCACTGCACCTCTGCGTGCCCCTCACCACCACCCTGCCCATGGCTTCAAGGGGTTTCTAGTGAGGCTCCCACCACACTTGGGAGCTGGAGTTGTGCACAGCCTCTTGCTTTTCCTGTGGGAATGACCCAGTCAAGCTGTGCTGGCAGAACTACCCCCAGCCAAGGGCTGTCCCCACCACAGCAGGCAAGAAACCACACAAAACAGATACTTGTTTTTAAATAACATTCTGCTCAAAACTCACCTCTTGCTTGTGGGATTTATCCTGCTGGTGAATCCCGTTAGCAGACCCAGAATTTCCAACAGTCTGCAATGGAAGACAGACAACATTTACTGAAGAGGGACACAGATCCTGGTGGTTTTGCTTACAAGCACTGAAATCTGGCAAGACTGCCCTGTCCCTCCTCAGCTGCCCACTCCACACAAGGAAAAGGAGGGTGCAAAAACCCCACCCCACTTCTGGCAACAATCTTCCTGCCCTCTGCACCCTGGCTCAATCCCCATGTGCCAGACTGCATCCCTCCCAGCTACCAAACATCCCCCAGGCTCCTCAGGGACACAGACCCACTATTCACCCCAACTCCTAAATACCAAAAACTAAATCCAGCCAAGGGCAGTTACTGCAAAGCACAGCATGCTGAACATCCAGCACTGAAAAGGACATTTGCCATTCCCCATTTCCCATCTCCAGGGACAAGTCTGGCAACCAGGACAGGCTGTTCTATCTTTAAAAAGCACAAGAACTTTTAAACATTTATAATGTTTCTCTGACAGAGTAGTATGGAGCCTTCAGCTTCCCAATGACAGTACAGCCAGCACAAGCAAGAGAAGAAAGCTGCAGCCTGAAGCCAGCATTCCCAATGGAATGGGAATGGAATTCCCAATGGAATTGGTCTTGGCGATCAAAGTCACATTTGCTGGTGAACTGCTGATGGCATTATGGGGAGACAAGACTGCAGGGTCTGAGAGCCCCAGTTTCCATCCTCACTGGGACCATGAAGGTGCAGAACCAACCCTACAGGACAGAGGTTTAACTTGATCACAAAAACCAGGCAGAAATTCAAACTAAGCTCTGATAAGAGGCTGAGCTGTTTGCCAGGCAGTGGAGCCTACCTGGATGGCAAGAAGAGTGCTGCTGCCAGGGCACAGCCCCCCCCACCACAGGCACTTACCTGCCTGCAGCTCACCCAACCTGGGCACTGACCAGACAGCTGATATCAAAACTCAGCCTTGAAGCTTGTCTCAGAACTTGGTCACAATAATGAACAAAGTGGTACAATTTGCTTGAAAATAAATAAAAAGGCTCCCAGAGGAATCACTAAAACCCTTCAAGAAAACGTCTAAGTGCCAAATCCTTGTTATTTCCTGCAAAGCTGTGGCTCAGGCATCTCCCAACACAAGAAGAAGGCAAAGATTTTCTTTATGCCAAGGCAGATACCTGGGCAACAGCTGCTTCCATCAGAGAGGAGACAGGAGGTTGGAAGGTGGTGCAGAATGAGTTACAGTGGGCATGTGGCTTCTGGGGAGGAACCATCAATTCCCCAACTATTGCAGCAGGATTTGTTTGGACCAGCAATGTCCTCAGCCTGAAAGCCCCTGGTTAACAGTTCTCCTTCACAAGGGGAAGGGTGAACAGATTTCAAACTGAAACTAGGAAGCTTTGATCCAGACCCCCCTGTAAATAGCACTTTAAAAACCTGACATCAACAGAAATTTGAAGCCAGCCTTCTCACAGTAATCCTCTGCTTCTTTGCACCTTGGATTGTAGTAGATTGAAGCCCCCCAGATTACCTAACACAGCACATGTGCACCTGCATCAGTGGAGAAAAGCTCTCTGTGTCTAGTGGCTTTTCTGTACTAGCCTAAGGTGTCTGTTTGAACACCAGTTGTAACTCATTCTTGCCAGAGAAAGACATTTTTCAGCTGAGAGTTTAAATGAGCAAGTACAAGAGAAATAACAGTGCATCTGAGCTCCAAAATCACTGCCTAATTGCAGACCCAAGAGAAAATACAGCTACAAGAACATTCAAGGGCATGAAGCACAAAGCTTGGCACAAGGGCCAGGTCACTTTGCAGGAGGAATCAGTCAGGGCTGAGACTCCACAGGTATGAGATGGAAAAGCCAAATGTTGAGAGTCAAGCTATTTGTACCCTTCAGTTTCATAAAGAAGGATGTTAGACAGGCAAAAGAAGCAGCTTTTCTTTAGTCAGAAGAAACAAAGGGAGATCAGAGGAAGTTGCGGAGAGAAGACAGAAACTGGAGTGGGAACATTCACAGTCCATCAGCAAACTCACATCTGACACCAAGGTGGTGAGAGAGCTGGCAAGAGAAATGGAAAGGATTTTCCCAGAGTCACCTGCAACGTTTCTGCTTAGGGACACACAGATAAACCTCTCACAGAAGAGGGATGCCAGAAAAACCTCACCTCTGAGCCATGAACACCTGCAGCCAGACAATACTGTACACATAAAGAACAGTTACAGTGCAGCTCCCCAAAACCCCATGTTTAGCAACCATTCTCTGGAGCACAGAGGGATCTGTGATGATCAGCTAGCAGGGATTTTATTCCATTAGGCTACAACTGGCAGAACAAGGCCTTGTCAGGCTGCTCCCAGCAAAGAGGGGACTGAGCTGATGGCATCACCCCCTGAGCACAGGGCATGGTCACAGGGGATCGATGAGTATTGTAAATTCACAGCGAGCCCTGTGGCAGGGAAGAATGATGCGTCTGACTCCATGTTCTCAGAAGGCTAATTTATTATACTATATTATATTAAAGAATACTATACTATACTAAAGAATACAGAAAGGATACTTACTGAATGCTAAAAAGATAATAATGAAACTCGTGACTCTCTCCAGAGCCCCAACACAGCTTGGCCCTGGTTGGCCAAAGAGTGAAAACAACTCACACCACAATGCAATGAAACAATCACCTGTGGGTAAACAATCTCCAAACACATTCCACATGAGCACAACACAGGAGAAGCAAATGAGATAAGAATTGTTTTCCTTTTCTCTGAGGCCTCTCTCACTGCCTTTCAGCTTCCCAGAAGGAAAACCCTGAGCGAAGGGATTTTTCAGGGAATGTGACTGCCACAGATGAGGGCTAAGCAGCCCTGTTTGCTGATGCTGTACCTGTGTTTTCTCAGAGGAGAGCCTCATGGCTTCCATGAGCTTCTCCATCTGGTGCCCGTGCTCCAGGGCGTTGCGCAGCACGTCCTCGGTGCTGACGAGCCGGTGCTGCAGCCGGATCACCTCTGACTCCGAGGAGGGGTCGATCAGCGAGTACCGCCGCTGCTCCGGCGCCGACTTCTCCTTGTCCTACAGCAGCAGAGGGAAGAGGGGACATGCTACAGCAAAGCCGAGTATCGCCAGCCAGGGGCTGTGTACAAATCACAAACAGGACGGGACTGCTGGGGAACACGTCTCCAGCTGTTGTATTTTCCAGCATCCGCCTCATTCCATGGTTATGACAATGGGAAGGTGCCCGCAGCTCACGTCCCCGGCAGCAGACCAAGAACTTAATGTCACAACTTACTTTAAATGTTTTTTGACCAATCACACAAAGCAAAAGCATACTGACAGCAGTTCTATCCAATCACTATATGTGCACAAACTTTTGGTTAAAACAATGCTTGCTTATTTTGAATACCTGCTTGTAAGCCTTAAAATACAATGCGCAGAGCTCCGTTATTAAGCTTAGAACTTCCTCATATCTCACTAGATAGACTTTTCTGTAGCTTAGGGAGTTATTCTAGACAAGCATTAATACACAGACCATTGTTCTATTTGTCCTTACTTTTCTACTTTTCACATAATTTTTCTGCTGACCAATCTTATGGCTACTGCTTAGCTCCAATCACAGTTCTGCTGTCTCTGAGGCCTGTCTTTTAGAGCTTTCCCAAAACCCTCTGATTTTAAGGATTCCCACACCAAGAGCTGCAGAATGTCAAGGTAGAAATCCATATAACCCCTAGAACCATGCTGTGATTTCAGCAGCAGATGGGGGCAGAGCACAGCTCGGATCAAGTGACCAGAAGCAGCTCCAGTTTGTTCCCAGCAGTTCAAATCCATTATTCACATCTCAGCCACTGGAGGACAGTGAAGTACACGGGAATTTGAGGACATTGCTTATTCTTGGATCAGAGAATCTGTAAAACACGTGGGGTAGCTGAAGGACCTTCAGTTTCTCTCACAAACTGTAGCCCTATTTACCCCTGGATCTAAAACCTGAGTGAACAGAAAAACACTGGAGAAGGGCACAGCAGGCTACGCCTTCCTCACGAGGGGAAGCAGAGAGGCACACCCTGACCTCTGCTCTCTGTGGCCAGGGACAGCACCCAGGGAATGGCTGGAGCTGTGCCAGGGAGGGTCAGGCTGGATATCAGGGAAAGGTTTTTCCCCAGAGGGTGCTGGCACTGCCCAGGCTCCCCAGGGAATGGGCACAGCCCCGAGGCTGCCAGAGCTCCAGGAGAGTTTGGACAGTGCTCCCAGGCAGATGTGATTGTTGGGGTGTCCTGAGCAGGGCCAGGAGTTGGACCTGATGATCCCTGTGGCCTTTCCAGCTCGGGATATTCTGTGATATATGACATGGGGATATCTTTGCTGTGTAATGAGGAGCTGCTAAGCCAGGCCACAGCTCAGTCACTGGCAAGAGAATTCCCATCAGATGCTCAGCAGCACAGAAGAGAACACAAAGACCTGGAGCAAGAGGGAAGGGCTCAGACCCCCCACTTCCCTCAGCAGTACAGAGCCTTCCAGCCCCTAAGCCATGCCCAGGATTGTAGGAAATAAATTTATAAAAAGCTTTTAAAGGTTAACAGAAGGTTATGTAAGGTTCTACAGAAAGTATATAAGGTTATCTTACATACTTCACTATACACAACAAATAAACAAAACCATCAAAAAGTTTTTTCTATCCAAGAGAGAGGGGGAAATGTAGGAAATAAATACTACAAATAAAACTAATAAAACAAAATAAAAAACTAATAAAACGAACTACAAATAAAACTAAATACTTTAGAAAAGTAGAACTATAAAACGTACTATAAAACATAAAAACTATAAAACACTGTAGTGGGACCCACGAAAGATTGTTTTAAATAATTAAGACATCTACAACATGATGTAACAAAAGGTAATAAACCAAGAAACACTTATAGTGTATTGTAATTAAAAAATCGTTAACCTCTAATTGTAATAACATAAACTATAACATCTACATCATCTCACCCTTCTCACAAAACCAAAAACGAAACAGAACTTCTTTTTTTTTAAAAACACCTCTCAGTTACCCCCACCTCCGGCTCAGGAAAAGGGTATTATCCAACACAGGATGGGTTTCAGTGGGCTCACCAGCACGACCAGCTTCTCTCGAAGGCCCTTGATGTCATCCTTGAGCTTCTGCTCCTTCAGGCGCCACTCGGCCTTGTGCACCTCGCGGCTCAGGTCGCGCTCGGGCCCCGGCGAGTGCCGGTTCGCCTCCAGCAGCAGCGCCCGCAGCTCGTTCAGGCTCCTGCGGGCCACAAACGCCACACACTGGGTTCCAAACGCTAAAAGCTCAGCAGTAACAAAATGGCTGTAACAATAGTAACTAGAGCAGTAAGGATTTGGACAATGAGAGTTAAAGGAGTTATGGAGGTTCGGATGCTTTCCTCTTGAAGGCACGGCTCGCTAATGAATTATTAACCCTTAAAAGCAACAGCCTGTTGCATATTCATACATCTCATACATGACTCAAAAATTATTTTCAAACAAAGGGTGTTTTCTGGTTATTGTCAACATGCCCCCCTTCATCTTGTGAATCATGGTCAGACTCCATGGAGTCTGCAAGGACATTAGTTCTTCCCATAAGGAGGCCATAATTCTTCTCTTTGGGATTTTGGTGTCTTGTTGCTGTTATCTCTGTGTGAAGAATTTCTTGATTATCTTATCCCTTTCTTGAGCTGGTTCAAAAGTATCTTACATAGCATAGTTTCTATTTTAACATTATGTTATAACCTAAAACTAGATTTAACACACTACTTAAGAGAATTAATACAGCATAACTTTCTAACATAACACATATAATATTCATTTTAATATTTGCAAAAAGCCAATCATAATATGTATTTTTCACATGCAAGTAGCAGCAGGAAAAGATGAAGACATTCCCAGAGCCCACACACCACTGGAGCCCTGCTGTGCTCCCTCCCACCTTTGCTACAGATCCAAAGAAAGGCCAGTGAGCAAATCTGACCCAGCTCCCACCACTCTTTTCTTGTCCCACTTTGCCAGCTCTGAGATTGGGACCTGCACAGGCACTGCCAGCTTGGCTGGCTGTAGGTGACTTCATTCAGCATCTCCTCTGAGCTGCCTTGCAGCTCCTGGCAAGGAGTGAAAGGGCAGTGCCTTTTGAGAATTCAGTCTCTAATTCTAACTAAATTCACACATCAGCATCTATAAAGAACAGGAAAGCTGTGAGCTGGATTTCAACAGTGCAACCCTGCATTTCCTCTGGTGGTCATTACTGTACCCGAAGGGTACAGTACTGTACTGTTCCTGTCTGCAGCTCAGGAACATGAACATCCACAGAGCCCCTGTGTCTGCAGCTCAGGAACAGGAACATCCACAGAGCCCCTGTGTCTGCAGCTCAGGAACAGGAACATCCACAGAGCCCCTGTGTCTGCAGCTCAGGAACAGGAACATCCACAGAGCCCCTGTGTCTGCAGCTCAGGAACTGGAACATCCACAGAGCCCCTGTGTCTGCAGCTCAGGAACTAGAACATCCACAGAGCCCCTGTGTCTGCAGCTCTGTCCTCCAGACCTGCACACCCACCTTTCCTTCTTGAGCAGCTCCTGGCTGATCAGGACCAGCTGCCCTGAGGCATCATGTGTTTTCTTGGTCAAGGCTTCCAGTTCTCCTTCCAACCTCTTCTTTTCTTTGAGCACCGAATCAGCCTTCTTTTCTGCTGTTTTGCATTTATTTTCCAAAGCTGTGAGAAGCAGAGCATTCAGGGGAAGAAATGTCACTTAGTCCTTTACTTACATCCTTACTTTTTGCCTTTTCCAAATTCCTACTCCTAAAAGCACAGACCTGGTTAGCTCTTGACTGGCTGTAGTTAAGGGGAGATCTTGGAAACAACACACCCAGCTTGACTGACTTCTGTTCATTAGCTTTACTCATTAACAAGCCCAAGCCCTCCCTCACAGGACACTAATATCTGCTGCAGTTTGTGTTCAATTCCTGAATTAATTTCTACCAGCAGCATCATGTTTTACATCAGCCTATTTCAGCTCTGGGCTCTTGTTCAACCCCAGGCTGTAGGACAAGCAGGGAAACATTTCATTCCCACCAACACTGGATTAGGGAAACTTACCACTTACTTGGGCCCTTAGAGTTTCAGTCTGGGTGACCAGGGATGACACCTCTTTGTCTCTTTTACTCAGTTTGTCCTGGAGGTCTGTGGGGGAATGAAAAGACAAGGATGAGAGGGTTGGAAAATGCTTTGTGCAAACTGGGAAGGTGTCAGGTGCAGGGTGCAGTGGGCTTTTACTCAGTTTGTCCTGGAGGTCTGTGGGGGAATGAAAAGACAAGGATGAGAGGGTTGGAAAATGCTTTGTGCAGATTGGGAAGGTGTCAGGGTGCAGTGGGTACCACGGTGGGACACTGCTGGTGGCACAGACACAGCATCCCACACACCTGGAGCTGGGATCACTCTGGGAAGTTGTACCAGGACAGGGTTAGGAAAGCAACCTCAAAGGAGGAGGGGAAAAAGGCAATAAAACATGAATTAAAAAAAAATGAACTTTCAGCACATTTCTTTGTGTCACCTCCTACAGTGGAAGGCAGAGACTGTTTCAAAGACATGTTTGCTGGAACTGATGCATTTCCATGCTCAGAGCTGTGGATCTGAAGTCAGATGCTTTTGTGGCTCAAATCTGACCTGGCTGTTTTCAGAACATCTTTCTGGGGTTTATTCAGTGTGGAAACAATGCACACATGGACTGAGTGGCTGCTGGATCTAGTTAAGGCACTAGGCAGGAATTACCTGTCAATCAGCAAACAATTTGGTGTAGAAACATAGAATAGTCTGGAAAGGAACTTAAAGATGATCTTGTTCCACACCCCTGCTTTGGGCAGGGACACCTTCCACTGTCCCAGGCTGCTCCCAGCGCTGTCCAACCTTGGGCACTGCCAGGGATGGGGTGTAACCTGAATGTGTTCTACAGAACCCCATATCTGCAAAGACAAACAAGCCTTGTGGGCAATGCCTGCCTTGAACTGAGGACAACGGAAATAGGACAAAATATCTCTGAATCCAGCTCTGCTACTGCTCAGACTCAGTGTTGCAGCTCACCCTCTCTGAGGGGGCTGAGTGCAGCTCAGGTTGAAATACACTTTATACAATTTTCCTGAGTGTGTAAGTCTCACGTTTTGTTAAAAGGATGGATTTGATTTATAGTAAGCTTAATAAAAAGTAACTATCATTATTTGAAGTCAGTCACATTAATATCTACCATTATCACTCCTCTCCTGTGAGCAAATAACATTTAATATCTGAATTTTACCTGCTGTAAAAATCAGTGATGGGATGGAAATGCACCTGTTTCCCCAGATTTGCCTCCAACCTGCACCATCTGCATGGAGAGCATCTAACACAGGTAAAAACATCCACCCCTGCATATGCTCAGCTTGATTAGAAGGAAAAAACAAATCCAGACAACAAATGTAATTTGGCAAACTTTGACAGATGAAATGTCTTCCTGAACCCCTGCCATGCAGCCATCCCTGCAAGAGCAGAAAGTTAGAGGAAGAGAAAGTGTACAAGTCACTAGAAAAGGGTAAAAATAACAGTTTCATACCTTCCATAGTCTGCTTCATCTTTATCTTTTCTTCTGAAATATCATTCGTCTCAATCATCTGGAATAAATGTAAAATGTGAGATATAAACTGACCCTTTACCCAAGATAAGCAAAAGTTAACAACCACAAAGCCCCATCCAAAGCAGAAGCTGTCCCATGTCAATCCTTCCCAAGGGGGAAATAAAGGCTTTTTTGAGGAGCCACCTGTCCAGCTGGGTGCTGCTGAGGCTGACCAGAGGTCACCCAGAGGTGAGCACACCAGCAGGATTCACTAGGAGGGAACAGAGCTCGAGTTCTCCCCCCAGGTTGTGGTTCAGCCCTGCACACTCAGAGGGGTGGAGGAGCTGCTGTCCCTCAGACCAGGCACCTCTGGTCAATCCCAGCCATCACCCAGCTGCAAATGCTCTCCAGCATGCAGCTGGACACCCACAGTCAACAAGTTCCTCAACTTCTGTAGAGCCTAGCTGTGCCCAAAACTACAAAAACATTGATAAGACAGTAATTTATTAGAGAACTAATGCAGTCATAAAAATAATAACAAGCAAATGCCATGCCCATTCAGGGGATTCTGCTTTTTCCCCACCCTCTTTTCTATACTGCAGTGAAAAGCCAGAACCTACAGAGCTTCCAGTGCCAAGTTCTCTGTGGCAGAGGCCACAGCTGAGCCCTTCCCACCTCTTCCCATCCAGCAGCCCTTGCTGGCACCTCAGCACATGCCCACACCCAGCAGCTGCTGTGGCCACCACAGGCAAGAGCCCCACGGTGAGTTCTCTGAACTGTGGGACAAGTCAAACAGAAGCAGGAGAACTCCCAGAGGAGAAACAGGATTCCTGTTGTACTTTTGGAATGGAAAAAAACCCTATTTAACTACTGCTGGGAAGCAGTTGTGGCTCTCCCTTGAAGGTCTAGGAAAGACTGTCCCAGGACACCTTTGCTTGTTTAAAATAACTTGGGCAGTGAATACTACAGTTACTTTGAATTAACTAAGAAAATTTTAAATAGAACTTGCCCCATGATACTCAAAGGCTTTCACCCATGCATTTATTCCCATATTATCCTGATTTTAATTGACACATAGTTGAAATAATTACTTCAAGACTTCCCTGGTTCTAATCCAGTGTCAATATCCCCCAGAGCCCTTCCATTAATCTAAAGGGCTCTGGGACAAGCCTCCAGCTTCTTCTTTTCCATTCATTCCTGATTGAATATTGGCTATAATGCGTCACATGTTGTAATAACAACCTCTTTTTCCCAGAGTCCTGGCTGTACTTATTGTTCCCAACTGTCCTGACTAGATGGAACATCCTGGAGCAACCCTTCAAACACTATTAGTGCTGGAGATCCCTCCTTGGCCTTTGCCTCTACCATCCTGTTTCCAAGGTATAGAGTTCTGACTTAGACAACGTGGAATTCGTGGGCTTGACTTTGCTCCCTGGAGGTGCAGCTGCTTTCAGTGGGGCTGTTCATGTTGAGAAATTAAACACAGGCATTGAATTCATTTCATTGGCATCTCTGTCTGGAACAGAAACTACATCACCAGTGAAATTTCAACACTGTATTCTTAAAATGTGCACATTTTACAGCTTATTTTGATTTTCTGTATCCCCACAGGATGTAAATTGGGTTTTTCCTCACTTCTCGTGCAAAATCCAAACACAAATAGGGGCCCAGCCCCCCATGAGCAGCAATCTCCCTGCTCACTCCAGGGCAGGACCAGCCACGACTCTTTGTGCCACACACAATGGCAGCATGAGGCATCCTGTGGCAAAGACTCAAACTAAAACCAAAAAACAAAAGATGACTTAGACACAAAGGCCACAGTAAATTAACCCCTTCATATTACTGCTCTTATTTCAGCCCTCCCTGGTCTCATATTCAATCAGGCATTTCATTTCCCCAGCCTGGTGCCATTCTGACCCTTGCTGGCAGCTTTTCCACTGCAACCCTCTACACCAGCATCTCCCTGTCTCCCAGATGTGCTGTGGAGCCCCTGCCCTGCTGCTGGCACAGCCCCACCCCATCCCACAGTGCAGCCAGTCACTGCACCTCTCTTGCTCCAGGTGCTGGACAAGGCTGACTCTTTTTCCACCCTGTCCTCCTAGCACCCCTAAAGAGGCTTGCCCTGCAGCACACCAAGGCTGCTGCAGCTCCTTGGAGAAGCACATTCCAGGAATGATGGTTTTCCAGCTCAGAACACTGCTGGCTCAGCATGTGAGCTGACAAACCAGGACAGCCCTGTCTGCTGCCACAGCAGCCTCCAAACCCAGGGGTGGCCCCACTTGCTCCTTTTTCATAATTGTCTAATTGCTCCTTTTTTCTAATTGTCTACTTGGCTTTCTAGACACCTTCAGCCTGGAGATGCAGTGCAGAAAGAACACTGTTAGTGGAAGAAAAAAAACCATCCAGATATTTGAGGCCTCAGAAAACTGCGCAGGGCAGTGGCTGAGGAGTTACCAACACTGATAACAAACAGCAAAATGACCCCAAAGTCATACATTTGCATGCTGAGAAGGATGTAGGGCCTCCATGGACTGCAGCTTGTTCTCTAAGACAAGCACTTTTTCCTGCAATCTTTGGATTTCCTGTTTGCTGTGGGCTTCTGTTTTCTGTAATGTTTCATAGTCCAACATCTTCTTTTCAGCCAGAGATATCTGCTCTTTCAAGAAAGCTATTGCTTGTGTCTGATCTGTGTATTCACCATGAAGTTTCTCCAGTTCATGCACCCTCAGCTCAGCATCTCGACACTTGTCCTTCACATCTTGGAGCTCCAGAAGGTGCTGACTGCTTTTGGTTTCCAGTTGCATTTTCCAGTTGCTGTTGCTTTTTTCCACTTCATCCAAAGCCTCCTGCAGCTTCAGCTTGAGGCTCTCTTTCTCCTTTATATGGACAGCTGTCTCAATGTCGTGCTTTGCTTTCAGGTTCTCCAGCTCAAGCTGGTGCTCCAGCTTTATGCTCTCCACAACTGCCTTCAGCTCCACAATCTCCTTGTGCTGGCTATCAGGGCCTGAGTTGAGCGTGGCTTTCAGGTCCTCTAGAGACTTCTGGTGGTCAGAAGCCAACGTGTCCAACTTGGACTTCCAGTTGTCCATGAGCCCCATGTTCTCGTTAGTGGCTTGCTGAACTTTATGCTTTAGGTCAACGATCTCCTGCGAGTACTTCTCATTGACAGACTTCAGCTTCTCCATCTCCTGCTGGTACTTCTTCAGCGTCTTCTCATACTTCTCCTTCAGCTGGCTGCTCTCCTTCTGGTGCTCCTTGTTGACAGACAGCAGCTGGTCCCGCAGCCGCAGAGCCTCGGAGTGCAGCCCCAGGCTGTGCTCGGGGCTCTCCGCGGGCTGGGAGCTCTGCAGGCACTGCCGCAGCTCGTCCACCTCGCTGCGCCGCAGGCTCAGCTCCTCCTCCAGCTGCAGGATCCGGGACTGCTCCGCCACCGTGGTCAGCTGCAACAGGACACAACACAAGGTCAGCGCGCCCCTCGTCGCCGCGCCTTCCCCCCAGCAAGCGTTCTCCAGTGGAAATTAATCCAAAGCACATCAGTCAGAGGTCAAATGGAGAGGTAAAGAGCACCTGGTACCCTCCAACCTGAGCACAGCTCTGCACCAGGGTAACCAGCACCGACAGCTCACAGTTATGTCTGTGCCAATTGCAATTCCTTTTTCCTAATACAAACCTCTTGCTTTCCACAGAAAAACACCTTGGAAATAACCCTGGAAATTCACAGGGAGCAACAGTGGTTTATGAAAAATAATGTCCTGGAAGGGCATTATGTTTCCAGACCAGGCATCTTGCCAGATGATGCACAGAGGAGATGTGACTGCACATGCAGGAATTTCACAAGCATCAAACCCAGCATTAAGCATATCATGTTTCCTTTATTGCTCAGCAATCCTCAGCCTGCAGACCTCTCTTCTGTAATGGAATTTGTTTTCCCTGGTGTAAAAAGGAAAAGGGATTTTTACATATGACTACTTGTTAAAGTTTATTAGCAAAGTCAAAATAACAAAGGAGGCTAGAGGATGCAAGACAATAAATCTGGCCATGGCACACATTGAGCTGAAGGGCTATGGATCCATGTTTTGCCATCTGAATGTAACCCAGCAGGGCCGAACTCCCTGCGAGTCACAGGGAGTACAGGGTGCTGCCACTATGGATGGAGAAGAGGATGAAACATTAGAAAAAGGCAAAAGAAAGAAGGAAACTGAGCCAAACTCCAAGAGATCAATTTCACTCCAATTCAATTGCCATTTGCTCAGCAGCCATCAGCCCAGGAGGCTGGTGGTCATTATTTTAGATGGACACAGGGGGCTTCAGACCATCCAGACCTTTTGGAGACCCTCCCATTTGTGTTTTCTACAGCTCTCAAACCCATTACTTCTCACTGCAGCAAGTTTGCTGCTTCCCACACCACACCAGCATGAAAAAGCCCTTTCCACATCTGGCTGCTTTTAGGATTCCTCTGGGCAACCTGTCCTGTTGCAGGCACGGCCAGGGATCAGAGCGGGCCCACCTGCATCCACCAGCACCTCCCACTTCAGATGGCAGCTCCCACGCCTGGCAGGGGACACTGGAATGTTGACTGCAATGTTATCTCCTCTTACAGCCTAGTGGGGGGAGGCTCAAAGCAGAATGAATTGTGCAGGGGGTGGATATTACTGGGATATGTTAATTGAAGAATGAATTGTAGGAGCTCATGTGTCAGATGGTGGGGCAGAGAGGCAAACTCAGTCTGAGAAACAAGTTCCCCACAAGATAAGCAAAGCTAGAAATCATATCATACTACTATTTCTGGGAAAGAGAGCAAATAAAATAAAAAAACAAACAAAATCAAGGAAGCTTAAGTTCAAGCCAAAATCAATCCACCCCACAAAAACCAAAAGAAAGAAACCCAAAGCAAGGCATCATGAGCACCAGGGCAGTGCAAGCGCTGTCTGCAGGCAGGGCAAGCGAGGGTGCATTACCCTGGTGTCCTCTAATTCTCTGAGGAGTTTTTCAGCCTGTGCCTTCTCAAACAGCAGGCTCTGCTCGAGCTCCCGAATTCGGGCATGCTCCAACTGCGTCTGAGTCTGGTCACACAGAGAGAAAAAAGAACAGTGGAGAGGGGAGCAGGGGAAAGGGGAGAGAGAGAGAGAGAGAGAGAGAAGGCTGCAACATCATCTCCAGAGAACAAGACAAGGAAAGGCCATTCACAACAGGAAGGGAATAAAAACCCAGACAGGGAGGAAAAATCCAACCAAACAGAAAAGAGTCCCTGTGGGATTTTACATGGTACTCATAGTGGCTCTTCACAAGAAAAGTGAATCTGTGATGGGAAAACATCCTTCTGCATGAGACGCCTGCTCCAGTGCCTTCCTGCATCAACTGAAGACAGTTCCCAAAAAGCAAAGCTCCCACCAGTACAAGGCCCTTGTACACACAGACAGTGCAAAAACGTTGCAATGGTTCTCCACATCTTTCCTCAAAAAGAATCACAAGGTAGACTGAAAAGAGTTGGAAGTTCCTGTCCTCTTGCTGCTCTGAAGACAGCATGAATCCTACACTAAGTGGGGAAAAACCCCCAGGTCACACTGTACATGGCATGCTGTGAAACAAAAAACACACTGCACTGAAGAGATCAGGGAATTGAGATCCCAATCTGCTCTGTAAGTCAGTGCTCTGAGTCTGAGCAGGCCTGACATGAATTTCAAAGTGACTTTTGGACAGTAGGACTCTACTAACTCTGGCACAAGAAAACAGAACTTTTTTGGTTGCTTGGTTGGTTGGTCGGTTTTGGGATTTTTGGTTGGTTTGGGGATTTTTGGTTGGTTGGTTGGTGGTTTGTTTTCAAGGTTGGTTTTGGTTTTTTTTTGACAAATGATTCAGCTAAGCACAAGAAGTTCATGTTATCTACCCAAATCCAGGAGCACTGGCTCTGGGCATTGCTTCAGTGCCCTTCACTTTTAAAGCTGAAGTACCACAAAGCTGCACCAGGTGGCAAAGCTCAGCACTCCACACCCACCACTGTAATATCATGTAAAATTCCCTATAAATAAAAGTGGACAGGAGACATGGGAAGTTGCATGCACACTCTGGCCTTCTCATTTTTTTTGCTTACAAAACCCACATTCTCCTTAGAATTAAGCTTAATTAACCTATCAAATTAAAAAATTCATCTAGCAAAAAGCAAAATAAAAACCTGCTCAGAACCATTTTTTACCCCCATTTTTTCCCCTTAATTTTCCATAAAATTATTTGCTTTCCCCCCTCTTTCTATTGGAGCCAATTTTAGGGATTTTCTGCCCTTCCCTACAATTAAGCAAGGCTTGGCAAGTTGTGTACAAATTATACAAACAGAAGTTTTTTAAAAATCCATGTTTTATGCTTGCAAAATATCATTGTACATGTATTCATAGATGGTGACATAACTGCCATTTATATTCAGATGGCTCTGTATTTTATGTGCCTTATTTAACCCCTGAAGGAGGGGAGAAAAATATATGGATTCAAGTGCCCAAATACCATCAAAACCCCAAATTATATAACTTAAGTGTAAAAGTTGGCTTATTGCATCCTAATTAAAAAAAAAAAAAAAAGAGGCATTTAATTAATTAAATAAAATAAATTCTGCTCCCTGTAAAGCCCAAAGATTCACATCTTGAGAGGGAGCTCCAGGACTGATTTTACTAAAAAGAATAAATATTCCATTGATACCAATGAATTAACTGGTGGCAGCAATCAGATATTTGCTACCTGAAGATGCTGACTTACTACAAAACTCATCTCTGGACTTCTCAAAGAGATTCTCTCCAGGCTCCTGAGACTAACACAAGTGCCCAGTCAAGGTCTCAGTCCCACCTGATATTCTTGCACAGTATCTATTAATCCTGGTATTTTCCAACTCTGGAAAACATATGAAAATAGAGGAAGAAAAACCAAACAAGAAACCATGGAAAAAAATAGATTAACTGTTTTACAGTCCTTGACTCTTAGGTTTACATTCAATCCAGTATTATTTTATGTAAATTGGTTTGCTAGTACTAGCCAGTATGAGTCAGAACCTCAAACACAAAGTTTTCTTGCACTTTGAGGAAGCCCAGATATGAATTTCAGATTTATTTGTAGCTATTAGCCTTAAATTACTGTTCACAAATTATAAACTGACTTCCCACTGGCATTCAAGGCATGCTGCAGGATCCAGGAGATGAGCATGAGAGAGTTCCTTGATGAGGATAATACTTCCTGTAAACCTTGGTTTTCCACCACAAAAAATCTTTCCTGAAAGCTTTTCCTACATTAGCTTTTTAACTTTCAAAGCTCTTGAAAGCTTTTCCTGCATTTGTTTTTCATCTCCCAAATCACTACAGCATCAACTGCCAAGCAGGATCAAAACTGGGCTGGATTCATAACTGCATTTCAAGGCTAAATCCATAGCTGCTCTATCAAGGTACAAAACCTTGATCTCGCTGTACCTTCAGGCCACAACATATTTTTTCTCTCAGTTAATTACTTGCTTCTGGAAAGCTTAACTGTCTTCACAAAAAAAAAAAAAAAAGGCAGGAAAGGCAGGAAGGTGAGAATTAACTGTAGTGGGCCAATCATTCAGTCTGAACATGCAAATCAGGCAGACAAGATGTAAAATCTGTCCCCAGCCAAGCCCTCTGCCAGTGCCTGTGCTGGGACTGATGCTGGACTCATGGACAGCATGCCAGTTCCCTGGGTCAGGGGAAATCAAGCATTCCTGAATTATTTGTCCTTTTGTACAGACAAGCATGGAAGTGAGGACAGGACCATAATGTCCTGCTGAAAGCTTGGCCACATCCCCATTGCAAAACAATTCCTTCCCAGCCCAAAGGAAAATGAAATCCAAGACTGAGAGTCCCAAACTGAGAATGGGAGCTTATCCATAGCAGCTTATCATCTTGCTAAGCATGGTGGCTTTTTAAAAAGAAAAATATCCAAATATTCCATCTGGCCAACCCTGGTCCCACTGCCATAATTACACAGCCAGGCTTAAACACTTGGAGCTTACAAAGGGACAATTCACTGCCCTCAAAGGGAATGATGCATGCACCAACCACCCTTCCCTGGAGCACTGTGGGAAAGCTGTCAGCTCAGGGAAGAACAGAAATCTGATTTTGCTCCCACACAACAGGCAGAAACTGCACTTGCTGTGCTCCCACAAAGGTCTACTATCAGTGCACTGCTCGTTTACACCCTGTCAAACATCTCCTTCAGCTTCTAGATGAAGAAGAGAGGTTTATGCCAGCAGGATCACAGCCACAGCAACATATCCATTTCCTAGTTTTCCTATTTTCCTGGGCTTTTATTGCTATGAGTGACAGTGAAGCACAGGAGCAGGGCCCTTGACATTTCTGGCTATTACTAACCTGGCACTCCAGCTAAAGAGACAGAAAACTCCCTTGATTTACATTTGGAGAGCAGAGCCTTGCTTCCACTGAAAGATTTTCTGTTCCCTTTTTCCCATGGAAAAACCTCCCACTCAAGGGCCAACATCACTTCATCCCAACATCCCTCCCAGCCTGCACAATGTTCACTGCAACAGCATCTCTGAGCAACAGCCCTTCCCAGTGACAGGGCATCAATCCTCGTGCCAGCCCTACGCTCCAGGCAGTGAGGATACCCCAGCATACACAGCTTTTTGGCTGGAATTAAACAGCATCCAGCCAGGAGACTCCATGTGCCCATTAGCTGCTGAGAGCAGGACACCACAGGGACAGGAGCTGAACTGTCAATTCATTTCTAGGGGGGAAAAATGTATGTTCAACACATTCAGAGAGAGATTTTCACATGGCTTGGCAACTCAGAGTGACAGATGAACTCCAGGCAGCCCCAGGTGTGAGCAGTCCTTGGGCACCACACCAAAGAACAATCCTCACAGCAGTCCAAAGCTATCAGTACAGTGTTGTTAGAGGGGAGGAAAAGGAGGCAGAAGTCACTCAAGTGAGGCCCCACACACAGCTCTGGATCCCACATTTTGGCAAGATCATAAGGAATTACCTCCAGGTCCCCTTTTGTAATGGATTCTTCCTCCACACGGAACTGCAAGTCCTCCACTTTCCTGGGAAGGGAAGGGACACACAGAGCAATCAGGAACTCTCAGCTCAGCCCCCTATGTCTCAGCAGCATTGCACATCAGCCCATTGCACACTGTTAACCAAGCTCCATAGGCTACTGCAGCCATCAACGGAGAGGTCACTGCCAACAAACGGAAAAGCTGCCCAAAAACTGTTAAGCTTTTTGTGCTCTAAAACTACCCACCGATGACCACGGAACTGCAAGTCCTCCACTTTCCTGGGAAGGGAAGGGACACACAGAGCAATCAGGAACTCTCAGCTCAGCCCCCTGTGTCTCAGCAGCATTGCACATCAGCCTTTCCACTGTTAACCAAGCTCCATAGGCTACTGCAGCCATCAACGGAGAGGTCACTGCCAACAAACGGAAAAGCTGCCCAAAAACTACTGTTAAGCTTTTTGTGCTTTAAAACTACCCACCCATGATGTGATATTAAGAAATCACATAATGGCCTGCAGAATCAAAGTCTGAGAGGGGTACAGACCACCTTTGGATACAGAAGCCCACAGAAACTGAGCAGCAAGCCCCATGGAGCAGGAGAATCAGCTTTCACACACAAACGTAGCCTTTTTGCAGGGTACATCCCCTCAGACACACAACTACTGTTCTCTGACACATGATACTCAAAACAAGCACAGCAAGGTTTCACTGGATTTTTTAAACCTTGTTCTCCAAGCACTGGGCAATTCCTGTGCCAAATGCACAGGGTCCATACAAAATATCCCAAGGGAATGGGATCCTCTGCCTCCTTGGCAGAGGGTGGGGAACTGTGAGCCACCCTGGCAGACAGGAGAGCCTTCCCCACAGAGTTTACAGGCCAGTCATGCATAAATGCAATAAAACCACACACATTGACACAGACATGCTGAGGAAACTCCTCTTTTGGAAGAGAGAAGCCAGTAACAGTATAAAAGAATGCAGTTTTCTGCTACACTCATCCCTCTTTTTCTCTTTACTGATTAAAAAGAAAAAGGCTGAAGATGTTAGTTAGTAGCCAGATGTAAGGACTAGGATTCTGTTAGAGATAAAAATAGCTGTGAGTGTACATAACTAACTTCATAAACAAGCTTCCTTGTCTGAACCTCCTCTAATTAGAGGAGGGAGGCATCTGTTGATATTTAGAGGAAAACTCAGCTGTCTTGGGTTAAAGGGCCTCCTGGAGCTGGGAAAGTCAGCTGCCTACCAGGAGTATGGGGAAACTTATGCATGGGAGAACATTTCATCCTCAGGAGGGGCATCAGTAATTGAGATCAACACCGTTTCCAGTTATTTAATACACAGAAATGTTTCTCTATTCCCACTGAAGAGTTTAATTATACACATGGAGCACGTAGACTCCAAGAATGACACGCAAATCTTCACTGTGATCCAGAGAGGAAATGCAGGCACCAGGAGAAATGCATGGAGGGGAGCCTCTGGCATGTGAATCACTCTGCAGTGAGGCTGCACTCCAGTCTGGCTTCCCTTCCTCACAAAGAACATCCTCAAGATCAGCCCACCACAATGGAGGGGAGGATTCAGCAAATCCAGGCTGTACAGGAGGGTCTGTGATGGCCCAGGGTGCACATGCCTGTTTATGACCCAGTTTTTATTTCACACAGCATCCTTAAGTCAAAACCACCCAAGGCTTCAGCACTGTCCACATGACTTCACCTCCCTCACACCCACCCAGTCCTGCTTTACCTCTTCTCCTCTTCCAGCTGGTTCAGAAGCTCAATCTTCTCCTTCTGCATCCCATCCACCAAGGCTCGTGCTCGCTGCAGGTTTCCTTCTGCCTCTGTGACATACTGGAGCAAGAAACAAGCCCGAGACACAAAAGTTAGCCATGCCTCAGGTAGTGCAAAGCTGTTCAAGAGGGGGCAGAACCAGGAAACAGAGTTTTGATGATCTGTTTCAGAGGATGCTGTGGTAAGAGCACATTTTCCAAAGAGCTCAGGATGTAGGGATCAAGAGAACAAAAACTGCCCCTTCTCCAGGAGCTGTAAGTGACCCATGCTTCAGTGCCTCTCTGACCTGACCCTTTTGGAGACTCCAGCTCTGATTAGAGTTAAGAACTTGAAGCCTGAAAAGTTCTGAAAATCTGGTCAGAGGGTGCCAGTGCAATTCAGTCCCAGTCATGAAGCAAGAGAGATATTTCAGACTTCTGTTAATTCATTTGTTACTGATAATTACTGGGAAACACAATGCACAAGAAGAATGTCAGCTTGCAGTTGATTTCCCAATTTCTCCTGCATTTCTGACAGGCAGGTGTGACCCACCACTCAAACATACAGTGCCATCCCTGCTCCCAGGCAGCTCACTTGGCTTTAAAAGCATGAGTAAAGAGTTTAGGACAACAGCAGACAATGAAGAACCACATACTGACAAACAGCACAGACACAACTCTCTTTAAGCATTTTAATACATAAAATAGCCTCTGTACAAATGCTTGTGCAAAAAACAAACACCCACCACCCTGTTTTCCTTCCAGATATGATATGATATATATATATATATATATATATATATATATATATATATCATCAGCCTGATTTCCTTCCAGATTTCCTCCCTTTATTAATGTTACCAAAGCATCCTCTCTGGTAATCAGCCTGTTTTCCTTCCAGATTTCCTCCCTTTATTAATGTTACCAAAGCATCCACTCTGGGAAAGCAGTGGCCTATGAACTGAGCTGATCCCTCAACACCATAAAAATCACTGCAATGCAGTCCCAGCCACAGCCAGATTCAGTGGCTGAGGGGAACACATTTGCCTTGCACTTGCATTTCAGCATTGAAATGTATTGATCCAGCAGACACAAACTATCTCCTGCCTCAGACCTGGCACAGGCCTTTGCCTGCTCCTGGCAGAGACAGCACATGTGACACTGGGAGGGTGGAGAAAGCCTCAGCTTAACTCACCACATAAAAGGCAGAAATTCAGAGCCCCAGTTCCCCGCACAGTGGCAGCGTTATGATCTGACACTTTCAGGGAACATCAAGCATTCAGACGTTTGAGAGCCAGTGCTGAAAAGCCCCATCACCTCCTACCTGCTCGTGCTGGGCCTTCATGATGGCGATCTCCTTCTCCACCTCGCAGATGTGGCTGGTGGCTTTGGCCACCTCGGCCCGCTCCAGGTCCCGCTCTGCCAGCAGCTGCTCAATGTGCTGCTGCTTCTCCTTCAGGGCCTCCTGCAGGGCTGTGGTGCCAGAGATCTTCCTGGCATAGCGGGACGAGGTCTCTGTCAGCTGGGAAAGAGTTCACAAGAGATGGGGTAAGGATGTGTCCTTTCTAGCCCAGAACAGCTCAAGTCCCCTGTTAAATCTGGAACGCTGCTCACCTAATGATCATTTATTGTGAAGAGAGCTGCAGCTCTGGGCCCTACAGGGGAGGTGACATCTGAGAAACATCTGGACAATGCTCACGAGCTCAACTGCTCTTCAGCACTGCAGTGAACACATTTCCCAAAGTACACAACATGGGGTGGGAACTGGGTCAGGGAAATTATCGTGCATTCTATCATCTGCCTTCTTAGATACACTTTATGGCTGGCCTGCACTGATGAAATCCCACAGAGTGAGCTCAGCTGGGTAGACTGATCTCAAGTGGAGACCAGTATGGAGTTATTTGATCCACTCCCAGGAATGACACTGCACCCCTGTCCCCAGCCAAGAGGGCTGGGGGTGTTCTGCAGCAGCACCACAGCAGAGCCAGAACTTTTAATAATATCCCTGCCTGCTCTGCTTTCTGCCTGCCTGAGCACCTGCCAAAACCCCAGGCATGTGACCCAGGACATTGTCACCCTCCACAGTGAGACAGCCACAGCGGGAGCTCTGCACAGCTGGCCAGTGGAGCAGCATGACCACGTGAGACTGCAAAGAGTGTCCTTTTCCTGCAGGGATCTTTATAAACCTGCTCTTGACAGCAGAACTGAGATTCATCCCACTGCAAACTGCCCTTCAGGCTCTTCAATGGGCTCAGCTGCTTGGTGTCCATTACTTGCAGGGAGACTGTGAGGTGGGTAACACCGTCCCACACTGCATCCCGCTCACCTCGGGAATGCTGAAGGAGCAGCTGCACTGGAAGAAAACCCCAGCCCTCCTGCTTGGTGCAGTTGGGTCACAAAGATGGACTGAGGAGGAGACCAGGCAGGAGCTACTCACCAGCCCACTGCGGCTGGGCCTGCCCCCGACCGAGGAGGCCACGGAGCTGACGGAGCTGATGGAGGAGCTGCTGGGGCTGTGGGTCAGGGCTGACACCCCCATGGCCATCCTCTTGCTCTTCTTTGCCTTGGCAGGGCTGGTTGATGGGAACCCGATGCGGATCACCTTGTGGATGGGAGCAAAGAGGCCAAACTTGGGTGGGCACTGAAAATACCTGGAATGCAGGAGAGGCACCAGGTGAGAAGTGGCAGAGCAGCCAACTCACCCAAGCCTTGCAGAATGGCATTGCCAAGCAGCACAAAACCCACAGCTCATCTCTGGGTGCTTTGCTGTGGCAGTGTTTCACAGAATCACTGGGTTGGAAGAGACCTTCAAGATCACCGAGTCCAACCCAGCCCCAACACCTCAACTAAACCCTGGCACCCAGTGCCACATCCAGGCTTTGTTAAACACATCCAGGGATGGGGACTGCACCACCTCCCTGGGCAGCCATTCCAGAAGTTTATGACTCTTTCTGTGAAAAACTTTTTCCTAATACCCAACCTCTATTTCCCTTGGTGCAGCCTGAGTCTGTGTGCTCTGGTTCTGTCAGTGCTGCCTGGAGAAAGAGCCCAGCCCCACCTGAGCACAGCCACCTTCAGGGAGCTGTAGAGTGTAAGATCACCTCTGAGTCTCCTTTCCTCCAGGCTAAACAACTACTTTCCTGTGTACAAGCAGTTGGATTATTCTCCTTTCCTACTTGCAGTACTGGCAATCTCCCTGTTTGCATTTGTGGTAATTTAGCAGGGGGACCTGAGGTAATTGCCAAGCACCAGCTGCTGTGCACTTTGGTAAGATGCCAGGAAAGACACAGCTGGCAGCCTGGAGAGCACATATCCAGAACACAAACACAGCCACAGCACAAGCACTCCTTCCTCACCACCAACCTTCCCAAAACTTGGGTGTGCTCTTCACCCTGCTTTGAGGATGGGGATGTAGTGAAGTGTGTCTGCAGGAGATGTCAAAGATGGACAAGGCTCTACTCTGTGAGCTCAGCAATGAGACAAGAGGCCACGGGCAGGAAGTTCCAGATAAAAATGAGGAAGAACTTCTTCCCTGTACAGTGACCAAGCCCTGAACAGGCTGCCCAGAGAAGCTGTGGGGATATTCCAGAACCTTGTGGACACAACACCATGCCATGTGCCCTGGGATAACCCTTCCTGAGCAGGAAGGTTGGACTAGATGAGCAACTGTGGTCCCTTCCAACCTGACCCACCCCGTGACTCTGTCAAATAAAAAGATCTGAATCACACAGTTCTGCACAAATGTTCCACAGGGTAAAAATCTTTCCTACCAAAACAGTAGCTCAAACCTTTGAAGCTAAAAATACCATTACAGCAAACTCCAGCGTGTGCCACCTCCTTTGGGTGGCAGAGAAACTGTTTCCTATGCCAACAAACTTGGAAAGATGAAAGCATGGAAAAGGGAGGACCAGATAATTACAGTGCGTGCTCTCTTCCACAACTGCACTGAGCCCGATGATTCTGTCTCTCCAGAGCCCTCTTCCAGAATAAAAATGAGCCACAAGTCAGTGTCAAACCCTGGAAACTCCTTCAGGGCCTTGGCTGACCAGCAGAAGCCAAGGATCATTTGCTGCTGGCCAGCTGCACTGCAGCAAGAAAAACCAGATCATCTCCAGCATTGTGTCCCCGAGTTCAGGGGAGCAGCCAACACAAAAAGCTCCTCTAAGAGCTTTCTCACAGGCTTCCCAGCAAGAACAGGACTAAATACTGGGCCATAAAACAATCTGCCCTATGTTAATATAAAAAAGCAGGTTCTAATGACTAAATTACACAAATTCAGTTTTATTAGAACAAGTTTTCTCACTCTCCAGATGTGAGCAGCTGTTTCCCCAACTCCCTTTTATTTTTAAGTGCTGGCAGCTGTGTCACAGGCAGACCCCTGTGTGCTTGGGAGGCCAGGGAACAGCCTGATCTCCAGCCAGATGAGAATAAAATTAAATTTTAAACATCAGCTCAGATACATGTTTTTTTCTACAACAAACTTTAAACAACCCCTCTACAACCCCAGATCTCTCAGCCTCCTCAGCTTCCTGCCAACACAGGCCCTTGGGTTTTAAAAACCAGCCACACCACAGGCTGACCTCTTGACAACCTGCCAAAGCCCTGCTCAGCATCATCTTCCCAAATTCCAGTAGGCACAGGCAGGCCAACAGCCCCTTCCACAGCTCTGCCTGCTGCAAGCACAGCCTGGTACTCGTGGCTGCTCAACAATCCCAAATGTTAATTCCCTTAAAAGCCTCTGACAGCTCTTAGCAAGTTCAATCTTGCATCACTATGTCTGCCCATTTTCTTTCAGTCCAGATTGAAAGTGGTTGCAATTAACTTTTATAACTCAGAAGCAGGAATTGGGTCCAAACCACTTGGCAGAAAAAAAAAATCTACATGGAAACCAAGAGCTGCTCTCTCTGAGTGTGGAGGAGCTCTGTGCTCACATTACAGAGAGGAAACAGGGCAGAAAAGTGATGGCAATGCAAACTGCAGGTGGAAAACAGCACAGGAAATGTTGAAATAGCTGGAAAAATCTTCAGTGTCCAAGGCTGACAAACAATGCAGAAGTAAAAGGTCTGGGCAGTTTAGTGAGCAAGTAGCTGGAAAAATCTTCAGTGTCCAAGGCTGACAAACAATGCAGTTTAGTGAGCAAGGACTTTGACTGGAGCAGAGAGAGAAGGGAGAACTGTAAAATAAGCAGGTCACATTTAAATTACTAGAGATGAGTCCATGGAACTTGCTTGGCTTTGTGGAACTGACACCAAACCAAACCACACCAGCACCTCTGCAGTCTCCTGTGCAGGCAAGAAAGCAGATGCAGCAAAGCTCAGTGCAGATCAGCAGCACCTGGTGCACAGAGGGGCTGCCCACAGGGACACCCTGGGCCACTGCTCCTGACCCACAGCTGCTGGGAAAGCCCAGCCCTGGGGCTTCCCTGGCTGCACACCCACACCTCAACCTGCAGGAAAATCAGTGACCCACCATGGGAGTGAATTCATGGAGAATTCTCAAAGCCTGACAGAAGGCTCACACAGTGTGCATCTGTATGCAAACCTTGAGATAAGAAATGCTGACTTAGAGATGCCATGGAATGGGACAGACATTGCTGAGACAGAAATGGAGCTAGAAACAAGTTTCAAAGGATGGCCTTGCAAATAAGACTGAATACTTTAGAGAAATAAGACTATAAAAGATGCATTATAGTAAGACCCATGAGGGGTAATTTTAGAAGGCATTTACAGCATGGTGTGGCTAAAGCTGATAAGCCAAGAAACCCTTATAATATATTGTAATTAAGAAATAGTTGGCTTCTGATTATAATGGCATTCATTATAACATCTGTATTGTCGTGAGACTGAAAATGGAGTAAAAGTTTTTAAAACACCTCTCAGCTACCCCATCTCTGGGCCAGAAAAAGACATAATCTGACAAGCCACACCAAATTTCAGCCAGTTCACCACCAGCTCAAGTGGACAATGTCACCAAAGGCTCCATGCTACCTCTGCTGCTTCCACCAGCCTCAGCTGAGCTCCAGTTTTGGCCTCACTCTCCTGCTGCAGCAGGCAGGGCTGGGCTTGCTGGCCAATGCTCACTAGATGGCAACCACCACCAAAGCACAGCCTGCAGAGTCCTGAGAGCCCAGCCCAGGCTGAGCCTGGCAGGACAAGAGCAGCACAGCAGGCAGGGCTGACTCGGGGTGCTGGCATTCCCAGGGGAGCTGGCTGGACTGGGTCAGCTTCTCCAAACCACTGCTGCTACACGGGCACTGCTGCAAGGAAAGCAAAGGCTGGGGGAAGGCTGTAAAGGACAGACATGGGCAATGCTGCAGCCTGGCCCTGAACAGTGTGAACCAAAGGAGAAGCCTCTGCTGACAGGGCACACACCAGAACAGCCCCAGCCAAGATGCAGCAGTTTCAGTAGATGGATGACTTCCAAAAGTTGGATTTTCAAACCACAGCAACAGAGGTACGAGGATGAGAGGCAGACAGCACCACGCTCACATCTGCCTTTCACACCTTCCACATGCACAGAGACAAGAAACACTTTCTGAGCACCATGAAGATTAATCTTCCAGATAGTTTGAATGGTATGATAAAGAAAGCAGGGACTTGCATTCACTCCATGATTTATTCTCTGCCATCCTGCTTCTTTTATTTTGAGAACAGGCTGAAACTCAGCCATCTGCTGCCAATCATTTACTGCTTTCTTGCCCTGACATTGAACAAGACAGCTTTTCTCTTCATTTAAATGAAAGCACATGGCTGCTGGACAAAAAAAGGCTCAGCCAACATAAGAAACCTTTATTACAGAACCTGAGATCTAACAAGGCAGGAACCCTTAGCTCCTCAGTTTCAAAGACATAGGTTGGTCTTGATGACATCAAAGGTCTTTTCCAGCCTAGTTAGTTCTGTGAAAGATAAATCTCACCTCTAAAGCCAGTCTGCCTTCAGAAGCTCCAAGAAACCAACAGTATTTCCCACTTAAGGAACTTGTGTAGGACAAGGCATCAGCTGCCCCTGTATTTGAAGCATGGTGAAAGAGCTACTGTATAATTCAGATTTGAACACCACCAATTTCAAGATCCAAGGCCTTGGTCATTCCATTAACTAAATTCCACATGAATAGAAAGAGCTTCCGAGCAAGCCTGTGAGATGTCCTTGCCTATTTTATAGGTACCAACAAGGTATTTTTTGGAAAAGAAAAGAGTGGAGGGGCCTAGGGAGTCAGAGGTGATAGGATCCATCAACAGACACCTATCCACTACAGAATTAGTACAAGGACAGAAAGCAACCACCAACTATTCTTTCAGTTCTCTGGGCATTTGTTCCCAGAATGAACAGAATAAAACATTAGGCTGAGGAGAAAAGAAAGTAAAATATTTGTCTTTTGTAGTTCTGACAGGGTAACATAGCACAAGAAGAAAGTTTATGACAGGAATGTGTGGTAGAAAGCAAAGCTAATACAATCAACAGGATCAGTTTCTAGCAAAAATTAAATCCCACTGTAAGTTATCTTCTCTCCCTACTTTCCCCTGTTTCCTGAAGCCATTCAGGTTCCTCCTTCACAGAAGTTATCTGATCCTGCTTTGAAGTGGTGTAGTGATGAGGTTTGTATTGATCTCCCTGCAAGGCTATCCAAAAACCTACAACACTCAAAATTCGACTCTTCCTCCCAGCCCACAAGTCAACCAAGCACAGCCCTAACTCTCTGTAGGAATGTTGACAGAGTAACCAAATTATCCTTTGTGTCCTTAATAAAAGAAAAAAACCCAGAAGTTTCTCTCCTCAATTTGGTAAAAAGATGCCTCATAAGACCTTTGAGACTTCACCTCAAACCTAAGGTTACCTAACTAGACAGAAGCCAAAAAGTCCCACCTAAGTAATTCACCAGAAAAAACAGAGCACAAAAGAAATAATCGCTTTTGTAGAGTGTTTGTAGCAAGAGCAAAACCTCTTGCCCCTGGCTCAGTTTTTCTCTGAGAGAAACAAAAGAAATAATCGCTTTTGTAGAGTGTTTGTAGCAAGAGCAAGAACCTCTTGCCCCTGGCTCTGTTTTTCTCTGAGAGAGCTTTGTTATTTTACCTTTTATTAAAACTTTTCTGTTTCCAACACTATCTCAGAAGCCATCCTACTGATTTTACGCCGCTCCAAGTAGCTGAGCCATCTCAAGTACGACAGGTTCCCCTGAAAGCTCGTAAGCACTCAGAAAAAACCATCAACTCTCCTCCTGGGGCTGATGGCATTTGTCCCCCAGGCCCCCAGGAGGTGTGCAGGGGTTCAGAGCACCCAGTACCTTGTGCCAGCAACCGCGCCGTCGTTCTTGCCCAGGGGCTCGTCCAGCTCCACTCCGCACCACTCTCCTTTGGCAAAGTCCGTCTCTCCCACGTAGCGCACCACTCCTGTCTTTGTGCCACCGACCTGCCAGCGGGAAGAGGGCAGAGAGAGGAGGCTGAGAGAAGATGTTCAGAGAGAAGATGTTTAGACAAGAGGATTAGAGATGGCAGCAGTGTGTAGTACCAGCCCCCCAGCTGGGTAATAATTATTATAGACTCTGCGATTCACAGAAAGCTGCTCAATCTCTGTTTTTATTAAGAAACCCATTGTTTTTATAGACAGTTATGATACAGCTGGACTTGACTGGTCCTTTAATTAAAACAATATCACTATTGGTTAATTAAGAAACCACCCTTTGGTAAACAAATCTCTGTAACACATTCCGTGTGTTCACAGTAACAGGTGCAGCAAGTGGAGATAAGAATTGTTTCTCATTTTTTCCTCTGATCTTCTCACAGCCTTTCCCAGCACAATGCCTGGGAAAGTTGTGTGTTTCTCTCTGTGGTCAGAGAGCTGCTGCCACACAGCACTTCCACTGACACAAAGGTGGGACAGGTGTCTATACAGGGGGACAGACACCTGTATTTTCTGTTTCAGATCTGATGAAATCAGCAGATGCTTCTCACACAGAGTTCTATCTAATTGTTATAAAGCAGTAACATCTTATATTTTACCAAATATAAAATGTTATTGCTTTTGTTGCTGTTTTGGGGAAAAAAAAAAAAAAAAAAAAAACACAACAACCAAGCACAAAGCAGCTAAAAAGAGCTCTTTCTGGAAGTTGCAAAAAATGGGAACAGTATTGAATAGCTCTCACACCAAGTCCTCCCAGCACTAAAGTTGTATTTCCAATAACTGCAAAGTGATTTTGGGACTGCCTGCCTGGAACATATCAGAGTAAATATAATGAAAACATATTTCAAGGTGTCAACTAATTACACCAAGTTACTTGTGAGGCCACAGAGGAGTTCAAGCCCTGCAGGCACAGCTCATACCTGCCCTCCTGAGGAACCACGACCTGCACTGACAGGTTTTCAGCCCTGTTCTGGGCAACACTGGGACATGACAGCAAGAACACAGCTGAGCCAGGAAAGCATTCACTGCTCCTCAGCTTGCTCCCAGGATGTAGAAACTGCTCAAAATAGAGGTGTTCCACTTTTATCTTCACTTCCTACAGCAACAGTGCTGACAAACTGCGGGGGAGTGGGGCTCAGCTCCTGCTGGGAGCATCCTCCAGCACAGGTTTCTTCCCCCACCATGGAGAAAAAAGAATAAATCACACCTTTTTCTTCAGAATTTACACTTTAAGTTCTTAAAGTTTGCAGCTGACTGAGGAGACTCAAGGAGGGCAAGTCAGGGAGCTGGGCTTTGATCATTGCTTGAGAGTGTGTGAGCAGCAGCTGCCTCTGCTCTAAACTCCCACTTAAGACACTTGGCTGAGAAAAGGAAAATAGAAAAGGAGGAGGGTGGTTCTAAAGGTTCATACTTCCAGTAAATCAGCATAAGATGTAAACCTTTTAACTTATCTCTGCTAACGCCTAAATTCAAGGAAGAAAGCTTAAAAATAAGTTTAAAATTAAATTTGCAGCTTCATCCTGAATGACTTTCAGTTACTAATTTTCTTAATATTAAAAAGAACATAAAAAGGTATCAACATAGTATTTTTTTCTGACAGAAAACAGTAAGAGCAGAAATCTCTGGGTTTGTGTATTTCAGGAGAGGAATGTTAGATTTACCAATTCTAAATCCCTAAAAAATTGCTTATGTAAAGCAAAAAAGAGTTTTCCTAGACTAAAAATAACTGCACTAAACAGCACAGCTCTGAAGTCTGGGTCCTACCTCAAATCCTGGGAGGCTGCAGCACACAGCTTGAGTTAGTCCTCTGGAATTTCCCTCACTAGGGATTCAAAGCACTGCTGCTTATGGGAGAAAATCTTTGGGGATGTTGCTCTCTTTGCTACAGGATAGAGTAAAATATTTGCCAGCAGGAAAAGGATCATAAGAAAACTTTCTGGTTCTGCATTGTGCCCAGGAGTAAAAAGGCAATTCAATTGCAGTATTGGTACTCGGCAAGTTACTCATGGGAACAGTCACAGTGAATTCTTTACCTTACACTCACAGTTAAATGCTGGTCTCTATTTTGATTGATTTAATACAAATTTAGCCTCTTAACATTAATGCTATGATTCAATACCATTCAAATACATTTCTTCAGCTGCAAGTTGAACTCTGTAAAAGTGCAATTAATCTTAATGTCATTCATAGGAACTTACCATTGCTGGTGTGCCCCCTCAATTTTATTGAGTTTTAATTCCAGATGTTGAGTCAGAAATTTCTTTACCAAGCCATATGACCCTGGCAGAGTCTCATGTAAGCCTTAAAAATCCAAAGAGCTCCCTCCATCAGTGTGGCATCTACTGCAGAGCCCCTCTCTCCTACCCACACAAAGAACCACTCAGGTGTGTTCCCATCAGTATTATTTATTTGAGAAAGCTGTTTCCAGCCAAGAGAGTAAAAATCTACCCCCACTGAACTGATACACATCTTATTTACGCCAACACTAAAACTGTGCAGTAAGAGTGCAGGTCATGCTCCCCCCAAAGCCCCACGTCAGAGAACTCTAAGCACAGACCAGCTCCAAGCCTCCCCTGCACAGCCACAAGATTCCCTCCTTCCAGAGCAGTGTATGCTATTTTCACTCTGCAGCTTGCACTGTTCTGCTCTCCTCCCTGCCACGCAGCACCTCGTGCTCCCCAAGCCAAGGCAGACACATCTGCTCTCCAGAGCCTGGGCTCCCAGCCCAGCTGGCAGGGCAGCCACAAGCTGGCACAGCTGCACGCCAGTGCTTGAGCCCCCTGCTGAACTCCCACCTTTTGGCAGGCACGCAGAAACTCTGATGGACGGGGAGTCCAGAAAATTCTCCTGTCTCAGACATGCAGATTTGTGCAGCTAAGGCTGCTAAAATAAATGATGCTTCGAGGAAGCCAGTCAGCAGGTTGTGGCTGTGTGTGGCATTCACATTCTCTGAACATGATTCCTTCGCCCAGGATTTTCCTCCTGGGAAGGTGAAAGGCAGTGAGAGGCCTCAGAGAAAAGGAAAACAATTCTTATCTCATTTGCTTCTCCTGTGTTGTGCTCATGTGGAATGTGTTTGGAGATTGTTTCATTGCATTCTGCTGTGAGTTGGTTTCACTCTTTGGCCAACCAGTGCCAAGCTGTGTTGGGGCTCTGGAAAGAGTCACAAGTTTTCATTATTATCTTTTTAGCATTCAGTAAGTATCCTTTCTGTATTCTTTAGTATAGTACTAATATAATATAGTATAATAAAGTAATAAATTAGCCTTCTGAGAACATGGAGTCCTCCTCCTCATTCCTCCTGGACATCGGGAAAAAATATTTAGAACACCTGTGGATGAAATTGTCTCATCAGAACAGAATGTTTGATTCTGTCAGATCCTTCCATAAATCAGAGGTGTCACCTTGGCAGAGGATACAAGGCAGCCAAGGAGGTGAGTAATGGCTTGGCATAACTCATGGGAGCTCAGAGCCTTGGACAGCACTGCGTGTAACCCAGGTGTGAAGAGCAGATGAGCATGGGTGGCTCCTGTGGCATGGAGACCAGAGGATTCCACCCCAGCCCAATGCTGGCATCAGTGCCACTCCAAGCCATGAATTTCCCTACAGGGAGCTGGTCTGCATGTCTCAGCCTGGCCCTGGTCAGTCACAGCCACACCTCCAGCATGCCCAGGGTCTGGAGTGAAGCAAGGACCAAGTAGAGAGGGCACACCTCTCTTTGCTAAGGCCTGAGACAGCACAGAATTAACAAAGCTGCCACCAGCCTCAGTTCAGACGTCACGGCTTCTGGAGTTGAAAAGTTTTACTCAGAAATGAATAAAACCGCCAAAGCTTTTTTGAGAAGCCTTTAACAGTCTCCTTACCCAAACTATTGCTGAGATTATTCGTGCCTAAGAGAATGGGATTTTACCAAACAAAGTGTTAATGCTTTTATAGTTGTTTTGGGAAAAACAAGCGTAAAGCAGCTAAAAAGAGCTCTTTCTGGAAGTTCAAAGGAATGGAAACAGTACTGACACAGTGATACTAGATTTTTTGGTCTGGAGATTATTTTGACCAATGTTAACACTCGAAGTTTCTCCACTCCAGGTAAAACCACTTATGGTTAAGTTTAAACAAGCTTGTGGTAATCCTTCCTCTTCAGATGAGTTGAGCAGCCTGAGCCACACACCTTGGAGCTCCTGGAACATTCATCTCCAGACTGAAGCTCTCTGCTCCCTTTCCCATGCCTTTAGTCAATGATTATCTTGCTGACTCGTCCCTTCCCCGGTGAAACATCCCCAAGGGACAGTCTAGGGTCTGATCTTCACAACACAATGAAGCCAAGGATATTTAGAGGCTATTCAGCAGGTCTGTATCCACCAGTGAGTCAGAGCAGCACCATGCAGTTGTGGAAGGACAGCCACACCTTCCCTGCTAATTACAGTACCACTGACATCCCATTTTAGTGTGCTTATCCCATCAAAATGACAAAATGGGATGCAGACCAGTATCCCAGGGCTGAAAAGACAATGATGCTGATCCTCCCTGACACTGCCTTCAACAGAGCTAACATATCATTTAAACCATTTACCAGACCTCAGCCTGGCTGCTGTGAGTGGCACCCCCTCCAGCCTGTGTCTGCTCTCTGCTCCTCGTGGCCCTGCTTATCCCACAGCAGTTTCTTGCTCTAAGCACGAACCTCTTGGGAGCTGCCCTCACCCCATGGCCTCTGGGCATTGCTCTGCTTGCAATACACTCCAATACTGCTCAGGAAGAAGAGAAAAATAAAATTCTCTGTGCCTTTCAGGCCATCAGGGACTGTCCCCAGCCATGTCATGCACACTCAGGGGTCAGCAATGGCTGAGGCACCTGCTTGATCATATTCCCATGCAGAAATCCAGAGATAACACTGTCCTTTCTGTTTAACATCCCAATTTACCCATTTAAATTGATTTTCAAAGTGTTTCCACAAGACAGGGCTGCTGAGCAGAGGGTGAGGTGGGAACACAAAGTGCCCAGCACATGGACAA